TAAATTATTCTACTGCTTTGTAAAATGGAGAGGACATATAATCTGTAAATGTAATCAGCTTTAGAACAAATATTCAAAGACCTGTCAAGATCTTTTCTAAGCATTCTTAGAAGATCTGCAAAGAAAGTAATTCTGAAGTCCTGCATTTTTTAAAAAGGTCTGTTATTATTAATCTATTGCTGATACAATGTAGCTGGGCTTTGGGTGGATGGCTCTATTGCATTCAGTTTTACAACTTCCAAAAAAACTGAATTTCCACTTACAAGTCAGACTTGTTTGAAGTAGAAGTTAAATACAATTCCGTAGGACCAAGGTCTGCTTCATTTACTAGTGCAACTGGCATTTTTGCTTCTACTTGATGAAGACATCAGTAGTTATTTTCACAAATAAAAAGGTGGCATTGAGGTCACAGAATTTGTGAAATATATCAGAATTGAATAAATAAAGTGGGATTTCAAAACAAATTTGCATTTTACCCAAAAGGATGCTGTTTTCAAATTATTTGGAATATATTCTATGAGAAAATCTGTTGGCTTTCATTCACTTAATGGAATAGCTCTTGCGTAGTGTCACTACTCTTAAAAAGTTCTGCCATATGACAGTGGACAAAAGACAGGGCACCATCTCCCAAACTGCTTGCCCCAAGACATTCTGCTGTACTGCCACAGAGGCTCAAACAATAAAACTCACCAAAGCTGCCTTTCATCTTGGGGGAGTACTGGCTAGTTTGTACAGAAGGCCTGCAATGGCTCAGTGTTTCTTTTGCACCCTTTTCTGCCTAGAAAGTTGAAAATAATGAATTAGTATAACTGGAGGAACCTGTCAGAGGATTGAAAAAAGCAATGCCGTATCCCTAATGATCTGGAATAGTTAATTAAGTTCTCTTATAAATGAGTTCCAAAAATAACTTACTTTCAGTAAGTTATTCTGAGAAACAGTCATTTTAGCATACCTGAGCTGCAGTGCCTCTTAGCAAAGGGCCAATTATCTGGTGATTGGCAGTTAAAGGTGAACTAATGAAGTTCTTAATTAAAAGATTTCCTATTATAATCACCAGTAAGTAACAGAATACTGCATATATAAAGCAGATATAACGTTAGAAGAATATTTTCATTTTGAAACAAAGATTTTGAAAATCGTTTCCACCTTTGCTTACCAGGTCCAGAGCAGGAATGTTAAGAGTTTTCACGGGTGTAGCTGGCAGTATGCCACTATTGGCCTTTATTAGGCTGTCCTGCTCTGACTCTCTAACAGTTAGAGGTATTTTCCTCATTTAATGGGTGGCAGAATTTTTTGCTGCTCTTAATACCCAAAGCTCTCTATATAATACAGAAAAATTGTTTGAAATTTTATAGGAGAATATGTCGGACTTTTAACTAAGAAACTGGTCTGCAGAGTTCCTTTACCTGCCTGTCATTGACAGCTTCCCTGAATTTTCACTTACTTCACAGTAAGCAGGGTATTTTCAATTTCTCCGTGAGATAAACTAGAATTATATTTTGAGAAAAAAATTCTGGTTTGTCAGCATGAGATGCATTGACATACTACTAAAATCTGAATAAAAGAAACTTTTCAGGCGACGTTTCTCCCCATTCAGATGTTCAAGGACTCCAGGTCTGCCTGTCTACATTTCTACAGCTCGACAGATGTAAAGGATACTGCTCTGAATGCCACCTAACCACACTAACAGTTCATGTTGCCCTAGATAAAACAACCTGTTAAGATTATCTTGAGCACTTTGTCACACTGATCATCTCTTTTTAGAGCAAAATAGGCATACATTGACTTAAAGTTGATCTGCAGCCATTCACACAGACATGGCCCTGGTGATCAGCACTGTATGTGAAGAATTACTTATTGGCCTATGGTCTCCTTGCTCTTATGTGCTCCATATAAACACTACTAAATATATATACAGCTAATCCTGTAGTTCTTAGTTCTGGTAAGACAAGGCTTGTCATTTTCATGGGTGATTTGAATTCTTTCTTCAGAACTATGAAATTCAGCAACTTTACTTTTTCCTTTCTATAGGACTTTTTAGGACTCTCAGACCAGTATTCATTGACCACTATGACAGAAACAGAATTTAACCTAAGGTGGCATTATATAGGTTCTTGACTAATAGGTAATTGTCCTTATATGATGTCAGCTTTTCTGAACTTTTGATGAACTTCATTTACCAATCTACCATTCTTCAGAGAGCCAAATGTATAACATTAACCGTATAAGGCCCTGCCTCTATCAAAATGACCAATGTTTCCATCGGACAGTAGTGCAAAGTAAATTAATATTCACTGGCAGATGAATCGGTTTTTCATTTGACTAGGTGAATTTTTATTCAAAAATTTTTACTCTATTAGTAAAAGTACTAACATTAATTACCACCAAAAGAAACTGTTGAGTGCGACTGGCAAAATCATTAATTTACCTTTTTTCTGTTCAGCATAATCCATGGGATTTAAATGTGTTTTTCTCCATGTGAAGTCTTTAAGTACTTTCAAGACAAAAAAGATGCTTGGCCACCTCCAGGTCACCAGAAAGCCTGTACTAATAAAGGAGTTTCTGTTCTACATATATCTATTTTGATTGCAATTAAAAATTTAGGTGGGGATGTTATATTTACAGATTTAAAGCATTTTATATTCTCATTTTTTCTCCCTTATTAAAAAATGGGTATTTTAGAAATAAGTATTTAATTTTTTTTGTGGAAATTTTAAATACAAAACAAATTTGCAAGCTAATCTAATGATATATTGGAAAAATGTAAATCAGAAATGAATTTACTGTAAAGAAGTACATGTACAAGATTCAGAACCAAGTCCCTGTTATCTAACATGAGATATTTCTTGTGAAGCTGTATTAACTGACAATGAAGACTGAAGACAGAAATTTTTTGAGTGTTTCTGCATGTTAGAGATTATTAACCATTCTAGAGAGGAAGAACGAGACTAGGCTCAATAATCCTTAAAATGTGTTCATCATCCCACAAATGTGAATCTAAAACTATAGGCTTTAGTTTATTGGGAGTTGGCTGCAAAACACCCAGAAAAAAATGTGGTCATGGATAATAATCCATGAGAACAGAGAGAAATTAGCGATCTAGTTAATGAGGTTAAGCTCTACAATATCTTTTTCGTCACCATGAGATAAACCACTGGGATCTTGTAGGCAGAAATGACTGGGATATTTTTACAGAGACACAAATTAAGAGAAACAGCTTTCAATGAAAAGAGTCAGAAAATTGAACTACTGCAATGAAATTCTAAAAAAGGAACTATTGTCTCTTATTGCATTGGTATATAATTTGATATCATTCCTCACTTACTAAATGGTTCTGCAGTTGATCTTTGATTAAAATATTTGAGTAGGTTAAATCTGGTGAAGTTTCAGAGGAATAAGCAAACACCAAGTTTTTTGGCCCGTTTGTTTCATTGCAAAAATCTTCCTGTACCATAAAATATTTATAATAGAGCTGTAAGTAATAAAAAGGACTATAATCTTTTCATTCCACTGTTCCTATTTGTTCAATTTTGTCAGTAAAAATAACATTAATACCTTCAACAATCAAAGCAGATTTTAATGTGTCACATTAATACTCATTCTTCTCACAGTTAGATTTTTCAAGGGAGAATTAGTCTAGTAAGTATGGAGCTGTTTGACCTAATTAGCAAAGTAGTGAGCTTATTTTTGAGTGATACAGAGAAAGCATTTCATTGCTGAAAAGAAGCAGCAAATCAGTTTTACTTTCCAATGTCCCATTGAACTGTATGACATCATGTGTAGTATAAACCACTTGACATAATCTGCTTCTGATTTTGAGTCCTGAAGGAAGGGTGGCTGTGACAGTGCCCTTTGAAATAACATTGAAGCTTCAGCTCCCATGTCAACATCGTGCTCTAATCAGTGCAGTCTTTTTTGTAGCAGGGTCTTCCACCTTATAATTGACCCTGACATATGCTCTTCACTCTACCCTTTGGCTTTGGACATATAATTCCTGTCATGGTCAATTATTAGGTGATAGAGCCTGCAACCACAGGGACCGTTGCTTAAAATCATCCTACACAGTAAGCCCTGAAGTGACCAAATTCACATCTAACTGGAGGGGAAGAGGGGATCTAGTCTTTGATAAAACTAATATTCTTTTCACTTCTGTATAGAAAAACGTCAATTTTCATCATCCTATAACTTATTGAGACGAATGGTGACAGTATTACTTCTGAAACAGGTTAAGGAAAACTACAAAAGCCCTTACCAAACTCAACACACTCTGAAAGGAGGAAATTGTCTGTATGAGCATACAGTGTGCATAAAAATTAGATTACACTACATTTGAAAGGCAGATGAGAATTTAAGAGTGACAAGTGGGCAAGTGCTAAAAATAAGGGCATGTTACTTCCTTTCCAACACTGCTTTGTCTGTATGCTTTCTTTGATGTTGTTTAAGCTTTGAATTAAAGAAATACTTTTCAAGAGTCTGAAAGGTACTTCTGATTACTGTGTTGATAAGAATTGGTTTTGAACAAAAAGATCTCTTCTGGTTTGCCCATTGGTTCTATAGTGCCTGAGAAGTTGCGCAATGACAAAAACCAGGACACCTACTCTCTGGTCTTCATATAAGCATTATGATTTTCAAAACCAAACAGTTTTGTAGTCATTGTATTTCTGCAGTAATATTAAAAAAAAAACATTACAACTTCAGGAATATGAGCTGAGAAGAGCAAAAGTTTGCCATCTGCAAACATTGAAAGGCTGTTTTGTGAACTACAGGTTCACTTCACACATTCTTTGTCCATAGTCAACTATGTCACTATCCCAGAGGACTCTCCCTGGTTTTTGCTGTGTGAACATTAATTTGGATTTGCTAGGTGCCATTGCCTGTTTATTTGGGTTTGGGTTTTTGGTTGGTGGGCTTGTGGATATTTTATTTTTTTTAATTTGGAGGGAATTTTGATAATCTATAGTCTTTTCAAGTGACTTTTTTTTTTTTTTCTACAGGAATCTTCCACTGGTTTGTTTCACTGCTGACAATTTGCTTAATTCTCTTATATGTAAGAACACAGCTCAGAAATAATCTGTAAAGGACCTATGCATAGCTGCTGAGTTTTACAGGTAATACAAGATACAGTATTCTGAAAGATGTGATGTGGTGATATCTTTATTGCATCTCTTAGCTTGAATAGACAAAGCTCTAATTAACATTCATACAATTATCTAAGTCTTTAAAATCCCATCTGTCTTAATGATGTATACATAGCATAGCAAGCCAAATAAATACCAAGCACATACAATGCAAAAGCTTTTAATTTAAACTATAGCACTGCTTACTGAAGCTCTTGTACATATTCTGTGTTTCAATTGTATGGTTTTCATAAGACTTGAAAACCTTCCTCCTGAAGTACAGTTCTGCATATATCTGAGAGCTGTTACTGCAGCAACTGCTTTTACTATGTGCAATATGCAGACAAGTAAACTTTGGAAGTGACTGATTTACCTACATATGAGTTACCTGGCGTGTAACCTGGCTCAGGTGTTTGCAAGACACCTTGACTGAACATACAAATGGATAATGGAAAATACTTAATTTTTACTCCTTCAGAATTAAAAAAAAATAGAAGTGCTGTTTCTAACATGCATTCTTTTATCTACCCTGCACGTATCACATGACGTTCTAAACATTATTTCATAGAAGAGTTAATTCAGCTTTCAGCAGCGTGCAGTCTGTGAAGCAAGGAGAATAACTCCTGGCTGCTTTATGGTTTAAAGCATGATTGAATATACTAACAGGGCTCCATGAAGTACTCATTTTAATATATATAATGTATTTTTTAAATATTTCATCTCTATACAGGTCTCATCCTCTCAGGAAGTAGAGCATCTCTATTGCACTTAAGAAGCCGAGGCAATAGAGCCCAAAAATACTGAGACGGCACCAGTGATCTGAATCTTGAAATTTTATTCTCTGGTCAGTAACTTGTTGATCATTGCTCAATCATTCCTGCTACTTCAGTTGCTCTTTGTTTCAGTTTCTCTATAGGTAAAGTGACATAGCTATACCTTGCAGAGTATTTTGAGAATTATGGGAGTATACAACTGGATAAATTACAAAACATCATTGTAGTATTTTAAAAAGAGCCTTTTCATAAGCCTTTTAACTCAGATGCTCTAAAAATAATTTTTATCATTTAGATTATGGCAATTAAGGGAAATTCTTTTTGTGTAATGAATGAGATAATTTATAGTTACATAAATTTATAAGATTAGCTTATTTTCAGTGTTTATATGGAGGTTCTTCTGGGAAAGTATTTAGGGACATCACAAGCAGTATTTAAATCTCACCACGGCAACTGATTTTTCTATGCTCTATCAAATAGCATATTTGCAAAACTGCCAGATGGGGAGAGAAACTGCAGTGAGAAAATAACGGTGAGGTTTGTAGTACAGGAAAAAAGGATCAGACATTAGATACATGATTTTAACAGCATGAGGAACTTTAAACATTTAACAAACTTCTTAAATAGAAGCTTTTCATTGAGCTGTCTTCTGCCAGGATAGCAAAAGGAGAAGGTAAAAGAAAATGATACTGCTAAAGCTGTCACAAATCCTAAGCAAACACAATTAATAAGGGGTATGAAAATGGTAAATATTTGAATGATAAATCTTGTGGTAGTATAAGAAGCAGAAGGTTACTATAAGCTTTGCATTAAAGATTTCTAATAAGGTATATCCAGTCTCTCCTCCTTCCATTATGGATATGATTGGTAAAAAACAGCTTTGAAAAATTTGGTTCTCCCAGGCTCTTATGTATACTACAACATTAAAAGCAAACATTTAAAGATAGAAAACTTGTGAAACCTCAGTGCATTTTTTAACCCATTTCCAGGCAACATTAGATCAACAGCAGAAATAATTGCTGTCAGTTTGTACTTTCTGACCAATAATTCACTGTATTTTCTGCAAGAAACTTGAGTGATGCAAATGACCTTATTTTTACAGCATGCTTTTATTAAATAGTTTATTATTTTGGCAGACTAATAAAGATTTTGGTATTTGCTTTTATTTGCAATAATATTACCACGACATAAAAAAGGATTTTATGTTCTTTTTGAGGAACAAGGAGGATAAAAGTGTTGATGGATAGTGCAACTAAGGCATCAGCAATGAGCTGGAAATGAGACACATAAATATGAAAGCAGAGCTAAGAAAATAGAACTGCACCCTTGGCCTCTCTTAAAAGAACATGCACATGCCATGGTTCATTCATACAGTTACAGAAACTCCTTTTGTTTTCAGTGAGTCAGTGAAAATATGCAAAGACTAAAATATTACCAAGATTCTCAATTGTTTGACATATTTCTGTAGTTAATGTAGTTGTGAAATGTTTCTAAACATGTAGAGAAATTACTGTTGAAGAAGATTTTTTAGAATATTTTCTTTGCATTTTCTTTGAAGTATAAATTTGTCCTGTTTTCTAGCTATGTCTTAGACAAAGGTGGTGAAGCAATATCAGTGTTCAGTTTTCCCCTTTTTTGTCCTTCAAACAGACCTAATTCTTTAAAGATCAAAGAGCTGAGACCTCATAGGCAGACCAGACAATCACACCAAGGTTTTAAAAACAAAATTTTCAGTCCTGTAATTAAAAAAAGAAGCTTATATAGCATGTAATAGAATTAATCTTATTTTATATTGGATTGGGAGTTTGGTTTCAGATTGAAAAAATTGTGACCATGGTATTCATTCTGCAATAATCTGAGCTCCTTGACAATGGGTGGTGTTAGATGCAAGGGGTATTCAGCAATTAGAAATTTATTGACTCAAACAAATAACTGTATATGCCTTAGGAATAATGATGCTTTCTTGATTGAAGGTACTTAAGATTTGAATTTTGCTTATAGCCACCCCTCAAAAAGACAGTCAAAGCAGAAAAATATGAACAGAACAACTACCACATGAAAAAAAATCTAAACAGGCAAACAAAACTTTCCCTCACTGGAAATTTGTTTGTTCCATTTGCCTTTTCTAAAAGGCAGCCAGTAAATAGGAATCATGAAGTATGAGTTTCTTAGAAGAATAAATCTAGCAATTAATTATATGTCAAGGCTTAAGAATCAAAAAACTGCTTATGCCCATTGCCAGTCATTCACTCCCTGTCAGTAGTAGTTCACATCTTTCCTGGGATGGCATCCAACCACAGTGGCATCTAAAATATAGCAGGCTATATTGTTACAGTTGGAGGTGAAATTGAAAGTTGCACCAAACAGAAGTGACAAATTCACATTGCTCAGTGTTGCCTAGCAATAAGAGATGAGTTTATTATGAACACTTGACTCTACATCCATCGCAAGGAGGCTTTGTATTCACACCAAAATGCCACTAGTCTTACAGGCAAAAGGGGCAAAAATAGGGTGGGCAGAAGGAGGGAACAGTCGCAGTAGTTGTATGTTCTGTATTTCAAGATTTCTCTTCGGGGAGCGGCTCAGGAAGGAGAAGTCAGAGCCTGCCTCCAGCTGTACTCTTTGAGACTGCCCAGGTAGCTTGTAACGGCCCTTAATCGTCCTTTTGAATGCCCTTAGTAGTGCTGTTTCATTAGGATGGCTTGTAGTTCAGACACTGCGAATGAAATCTTACTGATTGTTCCCAAGGTCTGCTCAGTAGTTGTTTTCATTGTGCAGAGTCATTTACTTCTGCTCTATTTTCATTTTTTTTCTTTTTTTTTTTTTTTTTAAGGGAAAAGGACAAGTCATCAAGGAGGTTTTCCCTCCTCAGACATCTTGCTGTTTTCTTTTTTGACCACTGTTTATATGGGAGAACATTTATTTCTATCTTGGACATTGGACGATGTCTCTCAAGGCATTAATTACCTAACTATTCACATAAATGTGTGTTTCTTTTAAAAAAACATTTAGGTATTCTTGAAGACCTTACTGGATACCCACCCACATATTTAGGCACATAATCAATTTTAAAAATCAACGCAATAGTTTCTATTAACCCCCCCTCCAATAACTGATCTGTTTCTGTGTTTTTATGCCATCTGCATTTTTGACAACTGAATATTTTTGACAGCATGGTCCATTGTGCCCAAGTTCACATCATTTTTTTTTTCTCTCTTTTTTTAAAACATCATATGACTACATATGTAATAGGAAAATGGGTTATATCACACATTTTGCTTTACAGATTTGGGTTCACAGTCGATTTTTTGAACTGACAAAAATTGTAGAAGGAGTATTTCTATTATAAGAGTGCATTTATTTTATAAACGTAATAGATTCATGAAATGCTATGTAACTACATTGAAATTACAAAACAGTTGTGATTTGAGGAAGATTTAGAAACAAGAAAATAAGGATAAAGTTTAAAGATTATATAGTTTGGGTAAAATAGAATAAAGTATAGATAAAAATGCTTTCTCTTGTTTAGAAATGCTAATGCCAAATCAACTGAATCTGTGAAAATTTGAATGTATAATTTTTATATTTTACGTGCAAAATGCAGCTATTTTCTCAAATTGTGACTTAGGCAGCAAGCTTTGAAGGTACAAAACTGAGGTACTTACATTTTGTAAATGTTTTTGTAAAAACCTTTAGTAACTTTGGTCCTTTCTTTATTTCAGATTCAACGTGTTACAAACAAACATATTCCACCTGTTACAACAATCTGGCATATTACTTCCTTGATACGTGATGATACAATACCTCTCAGGTTTGCTGAGTAGCAAAGAGAAATGTAAGCAAATGAAAAGGTTTTCCACTTTCACAGTTTTTTTCTGCTTGGGGTTCTGTTTGTCTGAGAACTGTATGAATAGAAGCCATATTTTATAGTATTTCTTTAACCTCTGCCATCTGGTGTAGGTTAGTTTTTCCACTGCCAACATATCCTAGAGGCCCTAGTACCAAAATGTTTAATTTCTAAGTAAACATTTGGACTTTATAAATCCAGTTTAAAAAAATAGAGCATTATTTTTAAACTTTATACTACATTTGCCACTACTGATGACATTAATAAACATGCAGACAGGTATATGGGTTTAAAGACTTCTGGCCGTGACTTTTCTGTAGCTGACCTCCAGAGATACCAGGTCACCTGACATCTTTAATCACCGAGACTTGCTCAGTTATCAGGAAGGGACTTGAATATTCCCTGCTGACCTAAAGCCTGAAGTTGTGTCAAGGGATTTGCACCACCACAACCAAAACTTTCCAAATCAAGTATGATTTCAGGAAAATAATACTCACCCATGCCAAAGGTAGAGCTTTAACTTTTCAATTTTTTTTAAATTTAAACCAAAGTTGTTTCACTGCAACAGGAGAGGATTGCTGCTACAAAAGAATTTAGGCAAGTAACTAATCACTTAAGAAAACCAGAGAATGTAATAACCATATCTCTAGCAACTTCCTTTTTTCTTCCGAGGAAGAAAAAACACCACAAAAAATCATGTGTCATAATTCTAATACCAAGAGGATAAAGTCCTTTCTAAACCCACAAAAGTTTTTTGCTTTGTAGTATTCAGAAAATTATCATATTTCCGTTTGAAAAATACAGTGCTGTTGATTGTCCCAAGCTGATTTTTAGTCAGATTGAAAAATTGTAAAGTACTTGTTGTGCTGAGCATGGGCAGGCAGACTGATTTCATCTTAATCAGTATTCTTCAGAGGTAGACCAAAGTAAAAGACAGTCACCAGGTAAAAACACATGGATGATACAAGCGCACAGATTATAGAGGAGAACATTTAAAGCTGTGTATAGGCAAGTTCTGAAGGGTTAAGAAAAGATAAATAACTACTATCTTGTTACTTAATTTTGATTTAGGGAAAGTTCTGAAAAAATCCTTAGGAATTTCCACTTCTTTACATGTCCACTGATTAAATTTTTGTGTGGATGTCTGTTTTTCCCTAAATTCGAAAATACTAGGGATAGCTTGGTTTGCTACCTTCTCCTGATGCACCTCTGAATCCTGAGGAGTATACAGAAACATGTTTTTGGTGTGAAATAAATTTTTAATGAAAATTCAGGAAAGGTCTTTACTTAGTGTTTATTGAGCTTCAAATGAAACAAGTCTTGAAAATAGAGAACAGTAAATTAATTAACAAGTGGCTCTTTTTTTGACCACTGAGCTGTTGTGCAAAAATTATGCCCATTTAAATTAATTAATTTAGAATTTGATTAGTTTAATCAGTGCAATTTGGTAATGAAGATTCGTGTATTTGTTGAATTTAAATGATAACTGACCTGAGGATAATTCTTTTTGCTGAACAGTACGGATGAAGAGATGAGGTATCACCTTTCAGCCAGTCTGGGATGTGAAATTCTGTGTTACTTTGCAAGACCACTAATTGCATCTATTTTATTATGCTGAGGTATAAATAGCAGCATCTGGGGAGTGAACATCCTCTCTCTGCCATCGGGACAGTGACTTCTGCCTGGATGGACAACTGGTTAAATTGCCTCATCAGTATGAATCATCAGAACAGATAAATCAGTGCCCACACTGTGATCTGTGTAGTCATCAGCAAAACTTGTTTGGTTTAATTTAGTAATTTTCTAATTCTAGCTTGCTTTGAGACCATTTAAATTTTTTCATGGTGCTTCTTAAACCTTCTTGCGTTGGAATGGCAGCTTAGACATGCACTGAAAGATTTACCTCAGTATTTGTTTGTAGCCACTGATTAGCCCTGTGAACCACCGCTCACAGTTATATTGTGCCTGGACCTACCCTGTCCCTTCAGCACCTCTTACTGATAAACTCACTCTCTTCACTTTTCATTCTCAGTGAACTCTACCCTGGATGTTTTGTGCTTGGCTAGGCATTTTAAGAGTGGATTTAGCCTTAAGAAACCGAACCTCTTATCTTCTCTCTTCTGCCACAGTCTTCCCTGTAAACCTTTGGTCAATGTAAGTGAATTTTCAAAAGGACCGAAGATCACAATATTCATGGTGGTTTTGTGAGCACAAACACCTGTGTGAGAAGGAAAATAAAGTCAGTGCTCCAGCAAAGAAAAGACTAGAGTTGGTTGTTGCATGTTTGGCCATTCAGTAAACATGCAGCACAGCCTGCCATAACACTGTTGCTGTTTTTCATGTCAGTAGTAAAAATATATAGGAAGAATCTGGGAGTAATTTTCATTAAATTATGTCTTTTGTCACTTCTATCTTAAACTGGGTATAAAATTGGTCCTAACTCACAATCTTTCCCAGAACAGATGGGATGGGAGGAACCTCAGACTAAATTCTAGCACACAGACTGAACTGAGCTCCTGAGGGATGAGTTCTGGGCTCTGACTTTTTTCTCTGTATTTCCTATTTAATAGCAACCTTCTCTTTTTTCCACTAACATAAATCAAATTCAGATTAGTCTGCAGCCAGTCTGCCTGCCAAGTGTGGGTTTAGGGTTTCACTTGGCAATCCCTTGCCATATTGAGTACTTTGTGATGCTATTGAGAGGCTTTAGGTGGTTTTGGACATGATTGCACTGTTATCAGTCCAATAAGGAAGAAACTCTTGTATTTAAATTCTCTGTAGAAGTGAATGAACCTACAGATTCAAAGTGGTGGTAAAGTATGTGGATTTTTATCAGGAGTAAATTAGTTTCATGATTTAGATTGTTATGTTTGCTGAGTACCCAAATTCTGCCCCACTAATTACTGGGTTTTTTTAATGTGATATGTATATAGCATGTATATATCACCTATTTTTATTAAGTGACATACATGGAGAAAAAGAAGAGGTGCTATTAATATTATACATAACATATCTCCATTCAGGAAAAAGGAATAATAAACAGTCTCTGGAACTTGGCAGAAGTTTAATTCAAGGGCCATCATGGACTTTGCATAGTTTTGTTTACTGTGTAATAAGTAGACAAATAACATTCAGAAACTGAAAGTGTATTTTTCTATAATACACATTTTCAAGCAGGTTTCTTGGCATGCATTTTGTTTGTACTGTGCTTGAAGTTGTTTATGGCATTAGTGGTTAGTGTGTTTGTGCATGTTTGCATTCTGTCTGTTTATGAAGTATTTCACTGGTACCCTTACACAGCATGTGGTCGGTCGAAGATTATTTTTGATAGCGTGTGCAGTCATGCATTTTGGTGAAAACCTTTAAGGTGGATTAAACCCTGGTTATTTGCAGTTGTGTAAAGACAGACTTATAGATAAAGACTCACAGAGCTTAGGTACAAAAGATACTGCACCATTTTAAAGATGAAAGAGTGATTTAGTGCCAATTTGTCCAACAACCATGGCAATTTGAGTTTCATAAAGATAGGCCAATTCTATTAATAACTGGAACATTTGTATATTTTTATTATCATAGATGTCAAAAATAATTAACAGATGACTCATATTATAATAATAACATGTGTGTAACTAATTTTTGAAATGAACTACGGAAGCAAAAACAAACCTCTAACAGGGATAATTTAAATCACTTCAGTCTCTAATTGACAGCTAAGTATAGGCAATACTTTCAGGACCCAGACACAGGGCTGTGAAATTAATCTGTGTATTACATTGGGCTTAGAGTGTTAGCTGATAGTTTTCATGGTGTTTTGAAAGTATGGGTTGTTCAGCATGCATCTAATGACATTACAGGAGTATTACTTGCAGAAAATGTAGATGCTGAGAAAGCACTAGACATTTAGAGGCATCAGTTCTCTAAGGATTTTGTAAATGTTACAGAATAAAGTATTACTGCTTTATTTAGATGCCTAACTGCAATTTTAAGAGCATTATTCTTCCTGTGAATCTTGAAACTTAACCAAAACAGAGCTGATCAATAATTAGTTCTTTCGAAAATTCCACTCGTAAGTATGATTTCATTACTATTGTTAATAAAGTTCTTCATGGTAGGAAATTCGATTATATCAGCTCTGATTTTCTTTCTTTTGGGACAATTCACATTTTCTATTATGCTTCTTAAACCTTCCATTGGAGTGGAGAATTTTTTCATAGAGGTAACTTTTCTTCCTGCTAGAGTAATATCAGACAATTTTCTAACACTTCATTTACATTTCTCAGCTGTGCATTTATGAGAGCTTAAAAACATTTCATTAAGTTTGTCTGTCTTTGAATAAGAGAATACAGTTAATGTATATCATTGAATGTCATTTATGATGTGCAGTTTTTTATCTACTTTACATCTACATGTACATAACATATACAGCAGTATCATTTATAACACCATGCTGTGCTGCACAACTCTAGTTGCTTTTGATGTATAGTGCTGTAACATACAGTGAGACCTTTGTTTAAGAATAATTGTTTACGGGACTGTAAGTGAATTCAAAAGACAATAGGTAAAGGTGGAATTCAGACTGTCTTAGTACTCTTCCTCCTTGTAACATGCTATACCTATATTATTCTTAAGAAGTCTAAATTCAAGCCACAGAAAATAACATTTCTATCACTCAAGACATAGAAGCCATTCATACGGAAATGAGAAGCAAAATATGTACAGAAATAAACTTTAAATCTTATGAGAGTAGCAGCAGGTTCATAGTGTCAGGAAGAAAAAAAATGATGAAAGGAAGCCAAGCCTGACAAACTGAATTGTGGCTCATCTGAATGTTGTTGAACTTCATTTCACTAGCAAAGCAGAGAGTTACAAAAGGGAAAATTAGAAAAAATCCTTCTTATCACTGTAATGTACTAGCTTTAAAAGAAGTGTGTCTGTACTATATAAATTCATAGCTCTTGAAAACTATATAGGTAGTT